GAGGGGCTGAATAGCAGCGTGCGGGATCCACGTCCGTCAGCGAGCTGAATTCCTGCTCTGCCGAGGGCCCCTTCCTTATCGGCACCAGTCCAGCACAGCAGCTGCGGCAGCTCTGGAGCACTCGGTGCTATCGGTGCCTGCAGGGTGCCTGATAACCCAGTCCTCTCCCGTGCCAGCAGAGAGCCCTCTCCCTGCTCCTGACCATGTATGGCCACCCAGCCCCACCACCAGGGCACTCAGTGACTGCCTGGCACTACAGACATAAACAGGGACGGGCACGGGGAGCTGCAGGGGCCAGGGAGGCAGCACCCAGCCTGCACCCACAGTCCAGAGCCCCGGTGTGCTCCAGCAGCCCAGCCCTCTCCTTCTGGCACGAGGTGTCCCCCTCACACAGCCAGTGGGTCTGCAGTGCCCTGTGCCAGCTGGCAGCACAGAGAGCAGCTCCCCTGTCCCCTGCCTGTCCCCTTGGAGCTGGAGAAGGGGTGCTTGGAGTGGGTTACGGGCACCATGGGTGCTGGCAGTGCCTTCCCTCAGCAGAGCACTGGTGCCTGGTTGGTCCCAGCAGTGAGGGTGCCCACCCAGAATGGGTGCAGCAGTTTGGGACATGCACCCCTGGCTGAGCTGGCAGGAGTGTCACAGCCTGGCCACAGTGTTGTTACACCCAGGCTGACATCCCTGGGAGAAGGGTCTGTGCTCTGGCTGAGCATTCCCAGTGAAGGGACAGGGACAGGCTCAGCTGTGAGGGACACTGAGGTTATTTATGGTCTCTCCTTGCTGCTGCAGGTGAGTGCAGGGAGCCCGGAGGCTCGAGCTCATGTCCCACCAGGGCCACTGGCCTCATTGTAGGAGTGTGCTGTAATTGCTATGCTAATTGGGACAAATTAAAGTATGCTCTGGGTGAAGGGCACAGTATCGACCTTGATGAAGAGATCACAGCCCTGGTGCTGGCCCCATTGCCTGCAGAGCAAACTCTAAACTGTGCTGAAATCTATGCCAAATGCAGAGGTGGTTGAAAATATACCACAGAACCCCACAAAAAGTCTGTCTGTCCACTCAAACCCTTCCCCTCCTGCCTTCAAGCTGATGTGTCCCCATCAGCTTGGGCACAGTGATGACACCAGGCATTATGGCCAGACCTTGGGTGTTTCCCAGAGCCAGCCTGGCTCCTTTTCCCATGGCATGGGCTGGCCCTGCCTGCCCACACAGCCAGCCACGTGTGTCTTTAGTGCCCTTGTGCCCCCGGCCCTGTCATGGTGCCCTCCATGAGCCATCTGGGTGCTGACATGTGGTTCTCCCCTCTCTTGCAGCAGCCATGGAGGCAACACTCATCTTCCTCTGCTCCCTGCTGGTGCCAGTGGCTGTGGCAGATGGTAGGTACCAAGTTCTTCCTGGGAAAAGGCTGTGGGACCCAGGGGAACTGCTGTGCCATGGATCCAGGGGGTTGGGGCAGGAGCCTGTGCCAGCTGGGGGCTGTGGGTGGCTGCCAGGGCTCAGCCAGGGGCTCACTGACCTCACACCCCTTGTCTGCCCATTCCCAGTGGCCACCCAGGAGAAGGAGAAGGAGGAGGAGGACCCCTTTAACTATGGTGAGCACGGCTGTGTGTGGGATGGGTGTGCATGTGCCATGGGGAGCAAAAGAGCTGCTCCCTCCCCTGAACCCAGCAGGAATGAACCCCTGTGTCTCCTTCCCCAGATTACCAGAGCCTGAGGATCGGGGGGCTGGTGTTTGCCGTGGTCCTGTTCACCGTTGGCATTCTCCTTATACTCAGTAAGTTGGGGACCTGGCAGATGCTGGGCTGCCAGGCCAGGGCAGCAGGGGTTGTTCTGGTGGTGGGGGCACTGGGAAAGGCCACATCCCATTCCCACCCTGGCCACACTCACGGATTTCTCTTCCCTTGCAGGCAGGAGGTGCAGGTGCAGTTTCAACCAGAAACCCAGGTGAGTGAGGGCAGCCTGGTGGGGAACATCTCCTTGGAAAGCCACTCTGCTCCCAGGCTCCCTCCCACAGCTGGCAGAGTGGCTGCACCCTCTGAGTGTCCCTTTTGGGTGCCCAAATCTGGGGAATGCTCTGCTGCAGAGCTCCTGGGTGGCAGAGGAGCTCCTAGAGCACCTTCCCCAGTGTGTCCCTGTGCTGTTGGGCATCCCACTCCCAGGATGGGGTGCAGCTCCCAGCTGCTCTCACCGTGCTCCTCTCCTTGCAGGGCTCCAGGGGACGAGGAGGCTCAGGCAGAGACCCTGATCACCTCGAATGGTAAGGTCACTGTCCCCTGCTCTGTGTCACAGCCACCTGCCCACAGAGCTCCCAGTGCTGGGCAGGCTCTGCAAACCCCTTTGCTCTTCCCTTTGCAGCAACGGGGGCACAGAAGGCAGAGAACTGAACAGGAGCCATGCGGTGAGTCCCTGCCAGTCTGGGTGGTGGCACCAGGACGGGTGGGACAGCTGGGGCCGTGTGGGGGTTGTTCTGAGCAAACCAGGCTGCTGGGACTGGCAGCCCTGCATCCCCAGCGTGGTGTGGGGGCGAGCACTGGTAGGGCCCAGAGCAGGGAAACCCGCAGTGCTGGTGGGTGTCCTCAGGCAGCCCAGCAGGAAAAGGAAGCATCTGTCCGGATTTTCCCTTGTGTTACACTTCCTTTTCTTGTGCTTCCCCACCCCAAAGTGGTTTTGGTTTTAGGGTGTTTGGAGAGCCGGGTGGGGGTCCCTCAGGGTGTCTCGCCCCGTGAATGCAGTCAGAGCTCCCCGAGCTCCCTGGATGTGCCCCCGTTTGGAGAGGGGGAAGCCTGGAGCCCGTGCTGGCAGTTTGAGAGCCAAGCAGGGAAAGGCGTCGGTGCTGCTCCCAGCCTGACTCACTGCTCTCCTGCCCACGCAGACCCAGAGACCCGAGGAGAGACGCTCGGATCGCAGACGCCCGCGGCCTGCGAGGAAACTGAAATCACAGCAGCAGGTCCCTCTCAGGAGGCACAAAGCTGCCGTGTCTGTGTTACCCTCTGTACTCCAGCACCGGTTCTGTTTCCTAACCCGACTAAACTCCGCTCACCGCCCTCTCTGCCTCCCGTGGTGTGTAATGTTGCTGTGAGATGATCATTACCTCTAGGGCTAGTTGTTGCTGATGTTGTAATCGTGACTTTCTCTTCACCTTTCTCGTGCTGTGCGTGTGATTCGGGCTCTGTAGGACTGGCAGGCGCTGCCCTTTGGGCTGCCCTCCAAGCCTGGGAACAGGGGCTGTGTGGGGCAGGGAGCGTGGGCTGTGGGGCAGGGACACCCTGTCCCCCAGCCCAGAGCCCACATGCTGGTGGTTCCCCTGTTGGTTCTGGGCAGGGCTTGGGTACCTGCAGCCCCAGGGACCTGCTCAGTGTCGCTGTTTCAGCAATAACCCCCTGCACGCCCCCAGGCCAAAGGCAGCTGTGGCAGGGGGTGAGTCGGGCAGGGACATCCCATGGCTTGGCTCCCCTTGCTGGGAGCACTGGGGGGCTGGATTCGAGGCTGAAGGGAGCTCTGCTGTCTCACCTGCTTGGCACATCCCATTCCTGTCCCTGGCTAAACCCGTGGGATGCTGCTTTAAGAGTGAGGAAAGGCTGTGGTGGCAGAGAAGCCCGTGAGGTTCCCAGCACGGTGACACTGTGAAAGAGGGCGGCTGCACAGCGGTGCCCCCGCTAACCAGCACAAACCAGCTCCTCGCCAGCACTCTGCCCATGGACAGAGCTGGGCTGGGTACACAGTCCGAGGGCTACAGAGAAACAAAATCCTGTCTGTGCTTGTCTCCGACAGGGAAGGGGCAGCTCCCTGCCCCTCCTGCTGCCTTGTCGTAGCCTGTGCCACCCCTGTCAGTGCTGAGTGTTGTCTTGTGGTGGTTCTGTGTCACTCCCAGTGCCAGCTGCCCCTTCCCCCGTGGAGCAGCAGCAAGAGGTGGTCTTGCACACCTGAGCTTGCACTGTGGCAATGTGCTGAGTCCACAGTCCCTCGTCACCTTGTGTTTGCTCATGGGTCAGAGGCAAAACTGTGGGTTTTGGCCTTTCCCCAAGGCCATGGACAGGCAAAGCCTTGGCTGGAGCTGGGCACTGCCAGCTTGGGTGTGGGGCACTTTCCTGGGCAGCAGCAGGGCATCACCAGCGCTGCACTGAAACACCTCAGGGTGCCATCCCCACACCAGGAAAGGGGTCTTGTCCTCCAGGGTGGTTTTGAGAGGGGGTTTCTGCTGTGCCCAGCCCACTGTGGTGGCCCTGCCTTCAGGGTGGGCTGTGTGCCTGGTGTGCCTTGGTGGCACCGGGAAGCTCTGTCCCATCTGTGCCAGGCAGAGGGAGCGTGTCTCCAGTACTGTGTCCCTTCCCCAGTACTGTGTCCCTTCCCTCCCTCCTGGCCTGTCAGAGATCTCCCAGGCAGAGCATACCCCCCGGCCCGGCCCCTGAGTGCCAGTGGTGTGTGTCCCTCGGAGTGCCTGTGCTGTCCATAGTGTGCCGTCGGTGTTAACACGAAACAAAGAGACCCCTGTGGTGTGTAAAATGGCCAAACCCTGACTGTTGTAAAATAAACTGAGCTATTGTGTTTCCTTTTAAATAGGCGAGTGTGCTGCTGTGCTGGAGGGGCTGGTGTGCTCTGTGCTGTGACCTAAGGGGAAAGGAATAAAATATCGTTTCTGTTGGTGCCTGGCTGCATCATCTCGAGGGCCGTGGCGTTCCCAGGGCAGCCTGGCTGGGCGAGGCTCCGGCAGCTCCCACGCTGGGGAGAGAGGGGCAGGGGCAGCGCCCTGGGCAGCACAGACGGGCTTTGTGCGGGCAGAGCCCCCTCCCTGCGCTCTCCCTTCTGCAGCCAGGAGCATTTCAGCGAGAGCCAGAGCCTGTGTGAAGGGAGCGTGGGCACAGAGACTCCTTGTCCCTCAGCTTTTTGGGAGCTGCCGTGTTGGGCTGCTGCCGCGCCCGATCCGGGGGATGCCGAGTGCTGCCAGGGCACTGTGACAGCAGTGCCACCACAATGGCCCCACACAGCACCCTCCAGGGCTTGGCTTCACCCCGTGGCGCCAGAGCTGGGCTGCTGTGGGCTCCGGGTGCCTGCACTCCTTGGCCATGCCAAGGGGAGCCTCCTTTGGGGGCAGCTCCCCCCGGCACTAATCGGCTTGGGCGCGTGACTCGCGCCCGCTGATTGCGAGATTAGAGCAAACTGGATTGCACAGCCCTCCTGGCAGCCGGCCTGGCTGGGCCCGGGGCTGGCACCACCCCGGGGAGCACAGCATCCTGGTACCCCACTGCCAGCGGGGATGCACCACGGACATCGCTGTGCCAGGACCCCCGGGATAGCTCGGGCTGGGAGGTGCTGCCCCGGCTGTGGGACACCCGCAGTGCCAGGCTGGGAGGGCGGGGTGTGCTGCCTGCTTCTCTCTAGCCAAAGGCAGCCTCAGCCTGTATCCCAGCCCATCCCTCGGGATCGCCGCCACTGCGGGAGGTGAAGCCCAGTTGGGCTGGTGCTGGGAAAGTGAGGGAGGGCTGGGACAGGGACACCCACGGCTTGGGGTGCCCAGCCCTCCCCGCCGGCTGGCACGGTGGGTTCTGCCCTGCCCTGCCCTCCCCTCCTTCCCAAAGGCGGGCGGGAGGGAGCCCTGTGCCTCCCCTCGTGACTGCGATAAACATTACACCGAGGCCATTAATGTTTAATGAGGTTTGTCTCCCAATTAATGCGCTTTCCTGTGGGTGCCCCACTCCCAGAGTGAGGCGCCCGCCGGACGACACGCCGAGGCGATGGGTGACGGTAAGAGCAGGCACCTTCACAGGGGCATCTCGGTGCGAGGAGCAGGGCTGCTCCCTCCTGTACGGGGGAAACTCTCACCAGAGATTTGGGGGGAGACGTGGGGATGGATGCTCAGAGCTCCGCAGCCCGCTGGCGCGTCGGTGCCAGCTGGCGTTTGGCTTCTTGGGGTGATTTCTCCTTCCAAGCGGCTCCCGGCAGAGGGCTGAGCAGTCAGGTAAGGTGGCTGGAGAGGTGACACGCAGCTGTCAGAGGGACGAGCCTGCAGGCTTGGAGGGGCACTGCCGGGGTGCACCCTGGAGTGAGGGGTGAGCCCGCAGGGCTGCTCAGTTCTGCGTGCCAAGGGAGCAGAGCCACCGAGTCCTGCGGCAGCGGCGCTTCCCGAGGGCACTGGAGCCGGGCCCGTCTGCAGCTTCACCTGGAGCTTGAGAACTCCTGTGCATCCTGCGAACGCAGCCTGCAAGTGCATCCCATGAATTCACCGTGGGTGTTAAACTTCCTGGGATGAAACGCAGGAGTTTGGGAAATATTTGCTGGCTGGGCTGGACACTGAGGAAGTCACAGCGCTCTCGCTTGCATCCCGCATTGCTGGTCTCTCCCACCTCCATGCCACGAGCCCAGCGCCCAGGACCTGGCTCTCACTGGGATTTCTCCTCTTTTCCAGAGCAAGCACCTGAGCAGGGCCTGGACAGGTTCAGCTACGGTGAGTGTGTGCCCTGGGCAGCCCGGGGGCTGCGGGCAGGGGGATGGGCAGCCCCCTCCCATGCTGCCCTGCACTGTGGGCTCAGCCCCACACCCTGCCTGGGCTGACACCCCTTGGCTCTCGTGCTCCCCAGACTATGACACCATCCGCAATGGGGGGCTGATCTTCGCCGTTGTGGCTTTTGTGATCGGGCTCCTCATCATCCTCAGTAAGTGCCTGGGTGGGCTGGACACCCCCTCAGCTCTGTTCCCTGCATGTGCCCCATGATCCTCTCACCTCCCTGCTCTTGGCTGGGTGTGGGGCTGGGGGCCACCAACCCTGCCCCACAGCACCAGGGGTGGGCACAGCCCGCCCCAGTGCTGCCTGGGAACTTTCCATCCAGGCACTCTCCCAACAGAGAGCGAGTTGGGAAGGAGACCACGTAAATATTTAGTGTTTCCCTGCCAGCACCAAGGCTTCAGAGGGAAGGTCACTCATTAAAAATAGCAGAGAAAACTCTGACATTTCCAGAGCGAGAAACCAGCCTTCCCAGAGCCCTTGGATCTCAGCAGCCCCCAGAGTGACCCAGTGCTGGGTGTGCAGGGCACCCTGTGACCCTGCCTGGGTGTTCTGGCCCTGTTCCATACCTGCACTGCTCCGTGGGGCTGGGGTGGCTGCAGCATCGGGGCTGGTGCAGGAACACTGCCCAGTAGAAAACCAACAGCATTTGCAATCATGGGACAGCTTAGAAGACAAACAGACTTCCAAGTGGGTGTTCGTGACTGGGCAGTGCCAGGGCTTGCAGAGGTGAGACTGGGCAGGGGGAGGCTCAGCCCCAGGGACCTCAGTCTCTCCTCTTGCCCCCAGGCCAGCGGTTCCACTGCGGAGGGAAGAAGAAGCCGAGGTGGGTGTTGTGCGGTTTCCAGGCAGCCTCATCTCTCCTCACTGGCCCAGGCCTGACAGGGGGGATCTTGGTTTGTGCTCCCCCTGCCGTCTCAGCGGCGTTGCCTGGTGTAACACATCTCCCTTTGCTGTTTGCTCCACAGACAAGGGAACGAGGAGAACCTGTAGGTGCAGGTAGGCTGCAGGAGGAGGCTCCAGCTGGCAGCCAGGCTCCCTGTGCAGGGAGGGATGCTTCGGGGTGCTTGTACTTCAGGGAAGTACCTACAGGGGGGTTTTCTTGGGACACGCTGGCCATGTAACCCTCCCTCTCTCTGCTTTCAGAGCTGCTGTGCCACCATGGAAGCAGAGCTCCATCCAAATCCTTGCCAAAGGCCACCCCTTCTCCTGCTCCAATGGATCCACTGCCCTGCAAGGCCAAAATGCAAATTACCCTCGTGCTTCTTCTCCCTCTCTTTGACCCAGCGAGAGTTTCTTGGCTAATAAAGTTCAAGCTCAGAGAGGTTAAACTCTGTACCCAAAGGCGTTTGAATTGCCCACTCTCCTGGCCCAGAGCCAAAAGAACTTTTCTGCCCTGCAGGCATCTTCCACCCCAGACCCGGGAAAGGTTCCTGCCGCCCCTCCCCTCCGGCATGGAACAGGCGGCTGGCTCCACCCTGGCTTTGCTCCGGATGTTTCTTCTCCCGGAGGCGGATTCCTGGGTCCTGCAGCACTTGCCTTTCCCTTGGGATGCTCGGGCAGCGGCTGGCAGTGCGGGCACGTGTGGGGCAGTTTGTGTGCTTGTGTCTGGCTGGGATGGAGTTAATTCCCCCCATTTCAGCCCTCGTGGTGCTGGGCTGCGTGTTGGGAGCTGGGAAGATGTTGGTAACACACCAGTTTTGGCTCCTGCTGCTCCCACAGCATCAGTGCTGTCTCTCCAACATCTCCCCCACCAGCAGTCTGGGGGTGGGCAGGATCCCGGAGGGGGAACCGCCAGGACAGCCCCAAACTGACCGAAGGGATATTCCAGCCCATGTGACATCTGCTCAGGTATAAAAGGTAAGGGAAAGGTGGAGAAAGGTTTTTTTTTTTATGATTTACAACCTTTGCCTTCAGGAGCAACCTCTGCTTCCCGGGAAGGGGCTGGACATTGCCTGTGGATAGGAAGTAGAGAATACGATCTTTTCGTTTCTTGTTTTCCCCCTTTTCTTTTGTGCACACACCCTTTGCTTTCGATTTCTAAACTGCCTGTGTCTTGACTCACAAGTTTGGGGGATTTCCCCTCCTTTTTTCTCCCTCCCTGTCCTGCTGAGGGGGGGAGTGATGGAGTAGCTCAGTGGGCAACTGGGGGTCCAGCCAAGGTCAGCCCAACACAGCATTACAGAGCTTGATCCAGGCGTCCTTCTCGGTCAGGAGCAGGGCTGGGATGGAGCACGGAGCTGTGTGAGAGCTCACGGCCTCTCTCAGCTCCGGATACAGACAGAAACGCCTCTTTCAAGAAAAAAAAAAAAAGGCGCAAAACTCTCCCGCAATTGGGCGGTGAGTGAGGAGGGAGGTTCGCTCCGTGTGCGCTGAGCGGACCGACACAGACCCCTAGTGACCGGAGGGCAGGGCTGCCTGTCCCCCACTACTGCCCCCACCCTGCCCCAGCACCTTCACCCCTTCCCCTGCAGCTCTGGGGCCGAGGGTGCCAAGGGCCACCCCAAACAGGCAGAGAAAGAGAGATTCAGGGACAGGAGCAGTGGAGAACTCACTCAGGATGCCAGAGGGTGCTTGGTCAGGGAACACTTTGGGTGAGAACACCGAGCTTCCCACCCTCACCTGAAGCCACTGCAGAGGCTCAGGTGTGTGAGGTGCTGCCTTCTGGAAGCCAAACCATCCTAGTGGTGCTGGGATGGAGAAACCGGCCCCCGGGGTCCGTTTGGGCTTTGATATAGGTCAGACATTGACAGAAAAATAGGATTAGCTGGGGCAAGGTTATTAGGCAAAATCCGTGCAATTTGTCTGATCTGAGGTGCTTATTTAACACAGTAAGGAGATTATTTTGGAATATGATTTTGACTTGACACTGACCCACTGATAAAGAGTCGTTGCAGCTTCGCACAGCCCAAACAGGGACTGGGATCCTCTGCCTGAGGGAGAAAATGGTTAATGCTTGAACTTGATGACCTTAGAGGTGTTTTCCAACCTGACTGATTCTGTGACTCTACGAAAAGTGCCTGTTTGACAGCACAGAAAGGTTTGGTCACAGCAGAACTGCCCTGCCCGCTCCCTGCTCTGACCCCCAGTCCTTGCTGAGCGCAGTGGGGTTGTGTCCCCCAAAAGCAGCAGCCAAAGCTCCCAGCAGGCAGGAAGGCAGTGGGGTGTGAAAAGACCCGCCCTCAGCAGAGTCTCACACCCCTGTTCCCCGGTGCCAGGGCACAGCCATGCCCTTCACCCCCCGTGGAGCCCCACAGACGGAGCCCCCGTGGCTCGGGGGCCGGGGATTACGGGGAGAGAAAAGCCGTGTCTGGCTGCCCGTGCGGGATCTCTGTCTCGGCACCAGATGGCATTAATAGCATTACTCTGCACGGCTTGTGGACACCCACGTGTACCTGCCCGGCCCCTCACACCCCTGGCAGGGACTGGGGACACTCACAGGGGGTGGCAGTGGCAGGGCAGGACATGCTCTAGCATAGGAATACTTGCCCTGGGTGTTCCATTTGGAGGGCAAGGCTCTTGTAACAGCTGAGCTGTGAGCAGCCCAGCTCCCTGCTCCTCCAGGAGTCTGGGGACCAGGAACACAGGAAAAGCACAAGCAAATTACATGATGCACAGTAAATGTGGCCTCCCTGTGCCCCTGCTCTCCGTGCCTCCACAGTCCTTTGCTTTGGATGTTGAGCCCAGGAGCTTTGGGAGAGGGAAGATGGGAGGACCACAGGAAAAGGCCACCATGTCTCCTTCCTCCTGCCACTGCCCCAGTGAGAGAGTCCTGCCTTCCCCAGGGCTTGGGTCAGGTGAGTCGTTGTCCCCATTGGAGGGTGTCCCACAGGACAAGCCCCAGTCCCTCAGCCCTTTCCTTGAGCCCACGGATCCCCAGGGAGCTGCAGCCTCAGCCAGGAGGCGTTTGCCTTCTCCCCTGAACCAGGCAATCTCAGAGGATTTCTGTCACAGTCCCTTGAGCCATTAATCTTCTCAAAGTAAATCTTTTCTGTGGCACAAAGGGGATTGAGTAAATAATACGGTGGACAACCAGAGCGCCCTTTTCCTCTGGGAAGACTTCCAGAGCCAAACAGCTTCCCCTTGGCACTGGCTATTCCCTGTTTGCTTTGCCGGGCTGTGGATGGACAGGTATGAGGGAGAGGGGTCCTGGCCAGCTGGGATTGGCCTGTTGTTGTTCTTCATCCACGACTGAATGGAAGGAGATGAGGCAGCGGGGCAGGAAGCAGAGGAGCAGCAGCCAGGCAGGAGCCTGCCAGCGCTGCTCCACGATGCCAGGGGCACATTTGGCCCGTGAGGAAACGTGAATGCAAAATGTCTCCTCATTAGTCTAAAGAGGAGAGCAGCAAATGGTGACTGAGGGAGCCAAAGAGGAACACTTGAGAGGGGAGAGATGGGCCGGGCTGGCGGGGAGCCAGGCACGCGCCTCGTCCTCCCTTTGTTCTGCTCCCGAAAAGGCAGCGCATCCATCACCAGCAGCTCCTCTGCCAAAACAGCAGCGCTCCACAGGCCCAAATTATCCTCCAGCCCAAGCAAACGACATTTCAGCCTTCATTTCCCACTGCCCCAAAGCAGTGGTTATTAGGGAATAACTGCTCACACAAAGGTGGCCAGGGGACCCAGAGCTGAGCAGCCCCGTAGCGGCAATGCTGTGGGGATGCAGCCCAGGGATGGATGGACTGGCTCTTGCCAGTGGGATTCACAGTGGGATGTAGCTGGAAGCAAAGGAGAGTCCCCATGAGCCCAGTCTGTGAGTCTCAGGACCGTGCCTTGGAATCACAGAAACATTTAGGTCGGAAAAGACCTCTAAGATCATTGAGCTCCATTAACTAACGCTGCCAAGGCCACCACTAAACCGTGTCCCTGGGGATCACATCTGTACACATCTGTCTTTTAAATCCCTGTTTGAAATCCCTCCAGGGTTGGTGGTGTCTCCATCACTGCCCTGGGCAGCCTATTTAGCCCCTGGAGTTCACTGAAACTGTGCGAGGACAGAAACTGTGGAGCCGGCGAGGACAGGGACCCCGCTCATCCCCCTGCACGGGGCTCCCCTCGGCGAAGCCCCGCTGCCCCAGTCCCCGCTCCGCAACGGAGCGCGATGACACTAGAGGGAACCAAATCCCAGCTTCTTGCCGGGAAAGCGGCTTTTCCCTGGGCAGCGGAGCATCCTGGCTGCCCGGCACGGACCCCGGCTCCAGGAACGGGGCACCCGGAGCTCTTCGCAGACAACAGAACCACAGGCTGGTTTGGGTTGGAAGGGACCTTACAGACCATCTCGTTCCACGCCCCTGCCACGGGCAGGGACATCTCCCACTAGACCAAGCTGCTCAGAGCTCCATGAAGCCTGGCCTTGAAGGGATGGGGCAGCCACAGCTGCCTCACCATCCTCACAGGGAAGAATTCCCTCTTGATATCAAGTCCGAATCTCCCCTCTTATAGTTTAAACCGTTCCCCTTTTCCTGGCACGATCTGCCCTCTATACCAGGCTGTGTTTCGCTTTTGGACACACAGCCCTTCCTGTTGTACAAGACACAAAGGGCTCAAGGAGGATCTCATTTTTGGGTACGTTGACCTGCTGGCAGCTGCTTGTCCAGGGTTTGCCTGTCCTTTATTGGCACACAAGACCCTTGCCACCTCTGGGGTGTTTATTCTCCCACTACCCCACGAAGCAGCCGCTCTATCCCCTCTGCCACTGGGGGAAACTGAGGCACAGACAAGGTGGGGGACCTTCCCTCCTCAGCACCCACACAGGGCCAGCCTTGGGGTGAGGGAGGAGGGACGGAGGTCCAGGGCAGGTATGACAGAGAATCACAGCCAGGCATGCCCAGCCCTTTCCCACCCAGGTGTGCCCAATGATTAGCCCAGCTGAAACCCATCCTGCAATTAGCCCCACAGCCTCCTCCGCCATGTTACTGGTGGGACTGGGCTGGCAGTGTCTCCGTGGGTCAGGGTGCCCGGGAGGGGTCACGGCAGGCTGGCTCTGCTCGCCGGAGAGGTGCCGCGAGGGTAAGTTGGCGATGCGTGGGAAGTGCTTTGTGGAAATCGGCTCGCGCCGATAAGTAGCCCTGTTGTTTTAATGACTGCTTCCTCCGGGGATTTGTCTGCGAGGGCGGCTCAGGGCACGGGGCTGGGGGCGCCGGGAGGTGAGGTGTGTCCGGGCGGGAGGGAGGATGGGGTGAGGGAAGCTCCCCCAGTGCTGTGTGTGTCCCTCTGCAGCACCTCTGCCCTGCACAGGGCACAGCCCGGGGCTGGGGCTGACCCCAGAACCGTGGGGGTGCAGTCGGGACCTTCCTCTTGGCTGTTTTTCCCAGTGCCCCTCTGCGTTGCTGTACAGAGGGTGGGTTTTTTGCACATCAGTGGATGAACTATCCTTAGGGTAAAGGACCTGACTGGCTAATGGGGTCTGCGAGCATAGGGCACTGCTGTAATCCCCGAAGCTCAGGGGGAGTCTGGAGCTAAGTATAAATGCTGCCTAGAAGCAGAATAAATGCCAGGGAGGGGGAGGCTGAAGCGGGGTGGCTGTTTGAGAGGGGCAGTGGGCTGCCCTGTGCTGTCAGGAGAGGCGAGACCCTGCTGTATGTGCTTTGTGGTGAAGCCTGTTGGGGGCTCAGAGCTGTGTGTGGGCATGTGTTGCTATAATTTCTCCTGTGTCTTGTGTGGAGTTTGGGCCAGGGAAATAATTCCTTAGTATGAGCTGCACCTTTTAGCAGTGCAGCTGGGCTGGCTGCTGCCTTTGGCAAGCTGCTCATTGCCTGTTAGCAGGTCAGTGGCTACAGGGAGTGTGAGACGGGCTTTTACCCGCGTGTCAGTGCTGGCCTGGCTTCCTGCAAGCTGCCTGTGCTGCCAAGGCACAGGTCAGCGCTGCCCCAGTAATTACCATGGAGATTTCCAGCCCTGCCTCGTCACACCGTGTGAAACACATGATCATGGTGTGGATGTTAGCAGGACACCAGCTTTCCGGGCTGAGCGCTCGCGCAGAAGGCGCCGCACAAAAAGCTTCCTGTGCGTACCCAAACACGGAGCTGTGGGAAGGCTGATGTCCCCAAACAGTGGCTGCTGGGCAGGAGCTGAGCCCCAGGTGTGGGCTGGCAGGAGCTCTGGGAGCTCTGGCTGCCTGCCCACGGCTGCCAGCCCGGCACGTGTGCCAGGCTCAGCGGGCTGGCAAAGGGCCTGGGCTGAGCGATCCGTGCGGGAGCAAAGGGGTCGGAATGAACGGCACAGGTGGCTCAGGTGGCACAGGTCTCCATGGAGACCCAGGCTGAGCACCCGCCCTGCCAGCCTTAAGTTTTGTCTCCTCTGGTGATGCTCTCCACCTTGCCAGCAGCTCCTGTCCTGGAGGAGGGAGCCCTTGGCAGGGGGAGGTCAGCACGTTTGGCAGAGGCTGATTTTCTGAGCGAGGGATGGTGAGGGAACCCACAGGAGATGCTGAGCAGCCAAGGGAGCTAAAAATGAAGCGGTGAGCAGCACTCACTCCCCCTGCTCACATGCCTCGCACAGGGATCTGTGGGGCCCCGTGGGTGCTGTGCCAGCGAGTGCCCTGCCAGCCCACGCTGCCCCGTTTCATTCACTCCCGAGTGTGGGAGGGTACAAATCACACCTGAGTCCGACGCACTGCGTGCTGGTTGCCAAAGTGCTGTAGCAGGTTCTGCGGCTGGCAGCTCTCTGTTAGCAGGCTGGGCTGTGCTGCCATCCTGCAGAAGCTGCCGGGGAGGGAAGGGGGCAGATGCCTGGCATGTGGCTGGGGCTCCCCAGAGCCCGGGGTTTGCTCGTTGCCTGGGCATGGGCCTGCATACCAATTTCCCCGCGAAGTATCAGCGAACATCTGTACGGTGGTGTAGGTGGCGATTGAAACGCACCTCGGTTCCTAGAGGGATGCGTGGGCACCGGGTGTGCATCAGCTGCTGCTTCATTGCCTCCCGGGGTGCCGGTGGCACGGCCAGGGGTGCGAGTGAGCCGGCAGCGAGGGGCTGGGGAGCAGCACGTGCCCGTGTGGGAGGGCTGTGTGCCGGGGACACCCACGCACCGTGACAGAGCTGCTGAGGTGGCCTGGGAACGGGCTGAGGGAGGGGGTGGTGACGGCGCTACTGAGCCCGGCAGCACCGAGGAAGAGGAAGCACATCCTTGGAGAGGAGGAGGAGGAGGAAGGAGGGAAGGCTGTGGTCTGTCAGGCCTGCACAGCACAGGCACAGTGTTTCCTCCCAGCTCTGCTGTTGGCACTGAGGTCTGGGCAGGGGTGAGGTGACAGTGGCTCATCCCTAAAATGACAGTGCTGTGGGTGGCTTGGAGCACGGGGGGTGGGACACAGGGTGAGTCTGTAGGACCCTGAGCTCTGGCAGCTTCTCTGTGTCCTTTGGCCGTGTCTCCTCCTCCTCTCGCTTACCTACAGTGTGCAGGTACCCCCTTGGTGAGCTCCCTGGCTCTTCAGGGGACTCCTAGGTGGGAAGGCTTACAGCGATTCTGTGAGGGCTGAAAATGGCCAAGGGGCTGTTGTTTTCTCAATTTCCGTGACGATAGTTGGGTTTTCAATTAAATCTAAACAGCGCTTTTTAAAAAATCCGAATGTAATGTTTTTCCTACTGGTTGTTTTGTTTGAAATCTGAATGCTTTAATCTTTCTTTCTGTTTATTTTGCAACAAATTGGGCTTGGAAAGGCTGTTTTGGAAAGCAAAGAAAACCTGCTATAATCGCTTCAAGAAAAGACATTCTGAATGCTCTAACGGTCCAGACAAATTGGCTTTGGTGCGGCTAAGTCTTGGGGAGTACAAGCCTCGGCTTGAGCTAAGCCTTGGATAAATACACCCCAAAGTAAAGCATTAGCTGGTATTTGTTCGTTATTTGCTGGCTGGAGGGATGAATGTGTAATGAATCTGCTGGGCCCTGTCTTGCTTGTGTCCCATGTCACTGGAGCAGCACAGGCTGCTAAAACCCTGACTCCCCATCCCTGGAAATGTTCAAGGCCAGGTTGGACAGGGCTTGGAGCAACCCGGTCTAGTGCAAGGTGTCTCTGCCCACGGCAGGGTGGTCGAACGGGTTACAGATGGTCTGTAAGGTCCCTTCCAACCCGAACCATCCTGCGGTTTCTGTCCCCGGGATGCCGGAAGGTGCGCGGGAGGCTCTGGGAGCAGGAGAACTGCCAGCTGCGAGTCCTGGGGGTGCTGCCGCACCCGGGCAGGACACGGCTCAGCCGGGGAAAGGCGCCGCGGTGCCGCTTTGCAGGGACAGGGGAGCACGAGCTCCAGCCCCCCGGGGCCGCACCGAGCGAGGCCGGGGCTGGTCGCCCGGGGGGCGAGCGCAGCTTGGAGGCGGCTGGTGGGGGACAGGGGAGTCTGTGAGCGCCGAGGAGGAGGAAGAGGAGGAGGAAGGGTCTCCCCCCACGGGGGCGGCGGCCGCCCCCAGCCCTGCGCGGAGCGGGGGGGGCGGGCGCGGGCGGGAGCCCGGCCCACGGGCGGGAGCGGAGCGGGGCGGAGCGGGAGCGGCGCTGGGCACCTCAGCCGGGCTGGCAGCGGCGGCAGGAGCGCGGCACGCCGGGGCACCGCACCTCCGCAATTGCGCCGCAGCCCGGGGCCAGAGCTGCTCTGTATGGCATGTGGCTGGTAACTTTTCTCCTGCTGTACTCTTTGCCGAAAGGTACGTGCGGACCAGGGCGGAGGGCGACGGGGGTCCCCGGGAGCGGGAGCGGGCGGGCGACACGGGCTGCGTCCTCCCTGGGGTCCCCGGGGCTCTCGGTGCTTCGTTTCTCGGGTCCTGGGGCTCTCGGTGCGCGCTCCCGGGGGTCCCGGGGCTCTCGGGGCGCCCTCCTCGTGCTCTTGGTGCGCCTTCCTGGGCTCTCAGAGCGCCCTCCTCGAGGTCCCGGAGGTCTCGGTGAGCTCTCCTGTGCTCTCGGAGCGCCCTCCCCGGGGTCCCTAGGGCTCTTGGTGCGCCTTCCTGGGCTCTCGGTGCAACCTCCCCGGGGTCCCGGGGCTCTCGGTGTGCTTTCCGGGGCTCCCGGTGCGCCCTCCCCGTAGCCCCCCGGGTTTCCCGGTGCGCTCCCCCGGAGCGCTCGCCCCGGACGGTGCAGCGGAACGCGGGGCTCGGTGCGCGGAGCGGGGCCGGTCGGTGCCGGCGCATCCCGGAGCGGCTCCTCGGGGCTCCTGGAGCCGGGACACGGCACCGACGGGCGCAGCATCCTCCGGCGGGGCCGCGCCGGGACCGAGCGCTCCGCGTCCCCGCTCCCGGCACTACTCAGTCTGATCCCGTCAGCAGGCGATATCCAAGCGATGCCTTAAAATTCGCATCCTTCCCTCTAGGAATGCTGTGTGAAGTGTAACCCAGAGGCTTGACATCAATCAGGTTATAGATAAATCATATATATATGGAGGGAAGGGGGGGAGAATCGTGAAACAAGCGTGTCAAGGAGACACACACAGAAAGATTACAGATTAATTTAAAGTTGGGCATTAAGTGAATGCTGCCCACATCCAGCGAGGTGATACTCCAACCGAGTCTCTGCCATAGATGCAATTAAAGAGAGGCAGGAGCTGCGCGTAGCACGGGCAGTTAAATCCCACTGCGTTTGTTACAACAATCGATCCATGTTACATAAAGGAATTGCCCGTTTCCGGATCTGGGGGAATTTTTAATTATGTTTCTGTAATAAATTACCTCTTTGCCCATGACCCGACCTGCAGATGCAGTGCTGGAAGCGCCCACCTCTTGGAAAATTGTCTGCTCGGAGGATGCAAAATGACATTTGCCCTAATTATCTTCTCTGACATTTGAGAACAGCGAGGGGGAAATTTTAGTAAATGAGGAAAGTGAAAGAAAGGGGATGGAGCTGCTTCCTTGCATGAGACCTCTCTTGCTGCCCATTACATTACCCTTTTAGCTGAACGTTAATCCAATGAAAAATATTTACGGAGGCTTAATAGGGCGCCCTGTCCAGTTGTGTGGTGTTGATCAATTATTCCATCAATTATTAATTATGGAATAGCTGCTTTATTCGAACTGGGGTAAAGCTGCTTTTGGGAGCTTTACCCAAAATCGCTATTGTGTTTCGGATCTGCTGAGCTGAACGTGCCAGCGTCTGCTTTGCTTACATTTGCATTTTTTACGGAGCTGAAAGGAAAAAACAAACCTGAAAACAAATAACCGTCGAGGATGCTATGATTTCCTTCGACCCCCAATAGTCAAAATAATAAAGAGCTGCACTGGCTTATTGCTTTTTGCATCTTTTCAGCCCCAGCTTCTTGGAAAAGGGATATCTTCCCACAGAGCTATCTCTTCGGAGAAGAGCAAATTAAAAGCCTCCATTAGCACAACTCCTCGTGGCCTCATTTTACATTTTATTTCTTAAAAAAAAAAAAAAAAGAGAGATCTTCAGTGTTGAACAGTCCTGGTGATGCAAAGTGTTAACATGAAGCGGTTCCAAAGAGAGGACAGCAATACAATGGAAGTTTCATTAGAATAATAGGATAAAAAAAATGAATTGCTTAATGCATGATAAACCTTTCAGATACTTAATATTTCTGGGCATCGAAGCACATCCTTTTAACGTGCTCCTGCTGTAGAACAAGAGCTCAAGTAGAAACCGAAAGCAGATAAACATTCGATCCAAGGGACCCCTGAAGTTTAGAAATCCCTCGATGGGCTGTAGCTGCTTATTTCTCCCCCCACTTAAAAAACAAACAGAAATAGGTGGTTGGCAAGCAGGGAGTTGAGCAGCAAGATGGTCTGGCAGCGTGAGGGAGAGCAGCCAGGCAGAGGGGAGGCGAGTGGCGTGATGAAGAACACACTGGTCAAAATGAGAGGCTTGGAGCTGGGGAAGCGTCTCCCTGCGTGATGTTGCTGGATGGCTCTGCTGCCTGATTTATATTGGCATTATATTTACATGACGTTCCCGTGTTGGGCGCAGCGAACGGTGCAAGCTCGCGCTTTCTAATCTCCCCCATCTCGGCCCCCCAGTGTGGCACAGCGCTCGTTTGTCTCTGAAATGAAACATGGAAACCTCATTAAATGCACGGAGGAGAAGCCTGCAGTGCTCAACTCCTCGCCGTGCCCGGCGCTTGTTTATCCTGCCAAAATTCTCCCAGCACCAGGAGCCACCGTGGCGACTCGCCCGGAGCCCTTACCTGCGCCTGGCACGGGCTCTGGGCTGCTCCTGCCTTTGGGTGGGAAGTGGATACAGGCAACCCTGGTGTCCCTGGGTGTTTGTTCTCTGGAGGAACGGGCTGTGCCTCGCACAAGGGGCGAGTGCCAGGGATGTGCCGTGGGCCAGCCCTTCCCAGAGCCGGGCGCTGCCTGGGAGCTGTAGGCACGTCTTGGGGTGACCGTGGCACTGGGTGCCTTGGTGTTGGGGTGCTGGGGTCTCTGCCCTCGTGATCCTGAGCTGGAGGGATGGACGGGCAGCGCTCTGTCCTCCTTTGGAGCAGCTGGTGAGCCGAGGGCAAGAATGAAGCTGGAAGCCTGTCTTTGTGGCAGGAATTCTGACATGGCAGCGCGGGCTGCGCCTCGGATGACATGGAGCCATCTCACACCCAAATAAGCAGCACGTTAATAGGTGCGACTTCCATGGCAGGCACGAAGGAGGAAGGCGCTCGGTCGTTGCAGTCGTTGCGATGCTGCTGTTCTGGGAGGATGTGCAGTGGCAGCTCTGGGTGCAGAGTGTTTCTTGTCTTTGAAATCTCGATTATAGCCAGCTCTGCGCTTTTACATAATCATGATTTTGTGAGTTACCCTTTCCCTGCTTGTAGATCCTGGAGAAACATCCCCCACCGCACACAATCTGCATGTTGCCGCCATCATCTGCCAGCAGAGCTGTACCAAACATTTAGGAATTCCATTTCCAGGCTCATGCTCCTGCGTGCTGCCTTCCCCAGCTGCTGTGCTTGGGAAGGGCTGCGGCGACTCCTCACCATGAGAGGGGAGCAAGCACGACTTGGAGGGGACAGGGAGGAGGTGAGGAGGTTGCAGAGCTCACTCCGTTGATGCCTTCCCCTTGTTTGTCCTACCCGTCGGCTGCATGGTGGAAATGCTGGTCTCCACCTTGTAAAGCCAGCGTGTGGGTTGTGGTGTGGAAACGTGGACTGGCAGTTGTGGAGGAAGCCCAACATCAGCCGTGCGTGACCTCTGGTGCATCCCTTTGCTCGTTTGGCCTCCCTGGGGAGACAGTGCTGTCACCCTGGCTTGGTAATGTCACCAGATGTCCCCTTGGGACTCAGCTGCAGCTCCTCAGGCTTTGTGTGCAGCATGGCCAGGATGTGGATGTGGGTTGTGGAAGGGGAGGGACTGCCTGTGGTCTCTGGGCTTGTTCCTCACCCCCCAGAGCTGGGGGATTCAGGATGTCCAGCTCTGGGTCAGCCCCTGTGTGGATGGCATGGTGAGACTGGTACCTCCAGCAGGCTGCCATGAGAGGTTCAGGGACCAGGAAAGCAGCGGGGAGAGCTTTTTTTCCCAGGCAAGGGTTACAGCCTCAGCCCGGCTGCTGTCGTAATAGCTGGAGGTGGTTCAGGCCTTAATTTCCATGCAGATGCATTAAGGAGCAGGCGCTCAGAGCATGTTTGAGCAGTGCCCTTACCCGAAGAGGACCAGGGGAAGGTTCTCCTTTGCTCCCTGTTTGCATTGTTGAGTTGGGAAGGACTGTGGTGTTTGAGCTGAAGGGCTTGTGCCACCAGGGTGGGACTCCCATGGCAACCAAAATACAGTGCTGGGGCAGGGAAGGAGCTGTGGCAGGTACCTGCCATCGGTGCTGCTGTGCTGGGCACCAGCTGAACACCCCAGGCCGTGCTTGGCAGTTCCTGACAGGATTTCCACTCCCCTGAGACTGGTCCCTGAGGGGCACAGCATAGAGTCATGGCTTTAACCCTTTGGGCTGGAAAGCCACTGTGGTGGGGTGGCACCTTGGGTGGATGTGCTGCACCCCTGCCTGCAGAGGCACCTCTGTGCTCCTCCTTGGAAGGGACCAGCCTCGTGTTACTCCCCTTGCCTCAGCTGCTTCCCTCCTCATCCCTTCTGTGATGCTTGGAGATGCCACTTCTGCTCCATCAGCTCCAAGGTCACTCCCTTCATTAGCACAAAGGCTGTTAAAAGTGTCCTGGAGGTGAGGGCTTGGAGGGAGCTCATTCCAGAAAGGCTGAAGACTTCTCCAGCACGGGGAATGTGCAGGCGGTGTGTGATGGAATTACCTTCCTCTCTTTAGTACAGAGGAACGATCAGGGCTTGCCACCTACCTGTAATTCCCACCCCCATGCGTGCCAAGCTTCGGTTCACTTTCTCCTTGAACAGGGCAGGTGTCAAACACCCTTAATGAGGATAATAAATGAGCTGCTCGGTGGCCATTAGCCTGCTGCTCTCCACAGCATCCCTGCAGCCCGGCACAGCTGGGGGCTGGGGAAGCCCTGGTGGTCCCTCCAGTCCCTTTGCTGTCCCACGGGTGGGTTTTTTGCTGTGGGGGAGCCTTGGCAGCATCACACTGGCCTTGGAAGGAGGGCTGGGGTGGGCACCCAGGTAGTCAGGCCACCAGGACCAAGAAGGAGGTCTTGAGAAAGGTGCTGCCAGCGGGGTAATGTGAATTCTAGTCCAGCGTCTGCCCAGAGGATCACAAGAACCCCCTTGAAACACAACTTGTTCAGCCTTTTCCCAGCTCTGTCAGGTTTCCACACAGTTGCTGGTGTGCAAAGGACCTTGCTCAGCTTTGAGGAACTTGCTGGGTTTGGGTGGGCACAGGACTGGCTGTGTGGTCCTGAGCAAGCAGCTTGTTAGCACAGGTGATGTACGTGCGTCGCGGGCAGAAAAAGCTTCTTATCTCAGGAGAAACAGCTCTGGCTGGCACGAAGCTGGTCCTTGTCTGAGACAGGTCCTAAATCCGCTTCTTAGAAAAGGATGGGCTCTCCCCTGTGGGGTTTGGAGGGGAGGAGGGGTTGTGCTGCTGGCTGTTCGCCTGGGGGGTGATGGCATTGCTGTGCTCCTCGTGCAGGACCTGCATCTCAGCTGCTTCTTCCCGAGATGGGTGATGTGGTGACAGATCCTGGGGACAGTCTCTGGTCCCTCTTCAGAGCAAGCAGGTGCTTTCAGTACAGCCTGGTGCTTTGCTGTGTCGCTGGAGGTGCTGGAGTTTGGGAAATCCAGACATCAAGACTAGTAAATATTCCAAGGGGATGATAGCAAAATGACTTGCTTCTCCCAGCTCGGATAGAGATATTAATATTTCAATACCTCTAGGTTGTAATTTACCACAATTTAAGAAGATTGAGCTCTGATAACTCAAAACACCTGCCTCTCAGAGCCAGCCTGAGTGTCCAGCTGTGCACTGGGCTTGGTGCAGCTCCCAGCTAGAGCCAGGCTGGGCTCCAGTGCTGGCACCAGTCTCGCTGCATTCCCAGCAGAAACTGTTCCATTTCAGCTCCTCCAGCCTCCTCTTTTCAGGTTCATGTGACTTAATGCCCTCGATATGTAGGTTAGGGTCAGCACATCTGACCAGATGTGAGCAGTGATTTCTGGTTTAAAAATATTGCTGTGCTATTTCTAAATTTTTAATCTCCCTCGGTGATTTGGAGACAGTTTTATGAAACATGGAATTAGGATGCTGCTCAATGCTAAATGGTAAAGGAGATTATATGGATTTAACTCTATGCGTCTGTCACATAACTATTGCCAATCCCATAACCTCCATTTTCTATTAAAAATCCCTTTCCCCCTTTGACCTGAAAAAGCTTTACGGGTAATCTGAATTTCCCTGTTTATGAGGTATTTTTCCACTCCTCACCCCAGCCCCTCGCCCGTCCATCTCCAAACCCTCCTGGTGCTGCCAGGGATGAAGATGTGTCCCTGACAGGCTCTGGGTGGTCGAGGAGCCTTCTCCAGCCGTGCTCTGGGGTCTGGGGGGAGATGCTGGATGGAGCACAGGGCTCAGCAGGATGTCCCTGGTCCCAAGCCAGGGCGAAGGGTGGCTTTTGCTGTGCCCTGACTCCAGCCATCTTCTGCTCAGCTCGGGCGACAGGCTCTGCCACAAATAGCTCTCTGCTGCTCATGAGGGCTTTGTTTCCCTTCCTCTGCCTGCAAAACGTGCGGGTTTTTTTCTCTTTCATGTATTTGGGAGAAGCACCGCGCTGCTCTGATGAAGGGAAATGCTGATTCATGACGACAAACCAGCCTGGAGATGTCACAAAATGACATCTGCAGGGCCGAGCGGTGGCCCCGTGGCTCTGCAAAGGCTGGGCTGGAGCTTTGCTCCTCCGTCCATTGGTCTCTGGCACTTGTCAGCAAGGGAGGGAAAAATAAATGGCTTTGTCTCCTTCTACCTGTGCGTGGACACAGGGAACTGGTGTGTGTGGAGACACGGAGATGATTTGGTGACCTACAAATCCTTTGTCTCATGTGGTGGCAGTGCTGGACCTCACTAATCCCATCTGTGGTGGCTCTGCTGGGCAGTGCCCTGCCGTGGGACAGGAGGGCTCTGAGGAGGCTCAGGGGGAAACCTTGGCATTGTAGGGGATGATTCTTTGCAGCGCACATGGAGAGCTAGAACAAGGTGCCTCTGGTTTTGTGGGTGCTGAAGGAGGCACGAGGTTGTACATCCAGCTGGGAGAAGGATGGAGAGGACTCTGCTCTGGGAAGGAGTGAGGTGTTTTGGGAGTGTCCCATCCTGACCTGGATGAGGATGGTGAGGAGCAGGTTGGTGGCATGGCACCGAGGCAGGGGATACCGGAGGAGGCTTGGTGTGGAGATGGAGTGGCTGTGGCCACTCAACCAGCAGTTCCTCGGGCGAGCGGTCGCCTTCGGAGCTGAGGCGAGGCTCTCCGTGTGGAGGAGGCTTTTCCTTCTCCCCCCTGCTCCCGTCCCCTCCTCCCCAAGTTAAGGAATCGAGGTCAGGGAGGGTCCCCCGTGACTCGTTGTGAACCACGGCACGGTAGTGATCTGCTTATTGGCTCTGCGGCCCCGCGAGCGCGCGCTCAGCCGCAGCTATTAATACACCCGCCGAGGGCCCTTCCACATCCCTGTCCTTCCGCCCACTTGGAAAGAGTGCAGCTAAAAAAAGAAAGCGGATCTGAGTGACTGGGGGCCTCCTCATCCTTATTTATAGCCAATTTTGCTGGCTCTGGTTGAGAAGGGGGAGCTCGTGGTCCTGGAGAGAGGGAAGGAGGGACCGGAGGAGTTGGGTGCAGAGGTTCCTTCCCTGCTTTCCAAGGAGGGAAGCGCTGTTCTCCAGTGCTCTGGAGAGCTGCTCCCAGGCATTCAGGTGGCTGCAAGCTCTGCCTGGACTGTGCCGCTGAACCCACCTCAGTCCTCCTTTGGATGGTGCAGGGATGCCTGGGAGAAGCTCAGACTGAGGGCAGGGAGGGTTTCCCTCTCTCTGGCTCTGGGAGAGGGGAGCAGCTCTGATCCCACTTTTCCTGCCGCTCTCCTGGTTTGGAAGCAGTGGTAGGGCAGCAGGAGAGATCTCTGCCCTGCATGGGGATGGTGTGCAGTGGATGTGTGGGCACTGCTGATGGGCTGAGCTGGGGGTCTGATGTGGCACAGGGATGCTCCAGGCTGGGGAATGTTGGGGTTTGCAGGAGAAACGATGTTGGTTGTTGTGCTTGGCGTGTTGTTGTTGCACAGGGGCATCCTCGGGGCTGTGGGTGCTCAGACAGTCGGACCATGTGGGAAGCCCTGGGGGGATGCCCTGGGTACCTGTCCTCGCTTGCACAGCCCTTGGTTGTCCTGCTGAGGTGCCCGTGATCCCTGATCCGTGCTGGCAGCAGGAGCGCTGGCCTGTGAAGGTGGCCTTTGTGCTTCCAGCCGTGCCCTGATGCTGCTGTGCTGCCCCGCTCTGCCGCGCGTGGGGTCTCTGTGCCAGCAGGATTGGTGATCCCTGCAGTGACCCCCCGCCCCTGCGGCCTCTGCTTTCTCCACAGCACACGCTGAAGATGTTGGAACCAGCCTCTACTTTGTGAACGACTCCCTCCAGCAGGTCACCTTCTCCAGCACAGTGGGGGTGGTGATCCCCTGCCCGGCCGCGGGGTCACCCAGCGCCGTCCTTCGGTGGTACCTGGCCACAGGCGACGACATCTACGATGTGCCCCACATCAGGCATGTCCATGCCAATGGGACTTTGCAGCTCTACCCCTTCTCGCCATCAGCCTTCAATAGCTTTATCCACGACAACGACTACTTCTGCACCGCGGAGAACTCGGCTGGCAAAATCAGGAGCCCAAATATCCGTGTTAAAGCAGGTGGGGGCTCCCTGTGGGCACTGGGGTTTGGGTGAGGGGCTGGTTTTCCTCTGGTCTTCTCCATGGCCTGCTGTCATGGGTTGATGGGCCAGCTCGCCCACAGGGCTGCTGTGTTGGGCTGTTGCAATGGGAGCGATTGATGCTGCACGGAGGGTACTGGGTGGAATGTGCAGCTTGGGGGTCTCCAGTGAGTGCCTGGAGAACGTGGTGTGGCTGCAGCCTGGTGGCAGGAGAGGTCCTTTCCCTGTGAACTGTCTCACCCAACCACGTACAGAGGCCTTTCACAGCTGTGGGAGGAGCTGGACCACATCTGTCCATGCTGGAAGACCCCCTCAGTGTCCCACAGCCCTGTTCCCACTGCAGCATCCAGCCCCAGCTTGCCAAGACTTATTAAGAAAGGAGGAATATGGCAAAGAGCTGATTCCAAAAGCCATTAGAGTAAATTATTGACCAGGCTGAGGAGGGCTAATAGTCCAGGAATGGCTTCATTATGTAACCTATTAAAAGTGGGGCTAGCAGAGGGAACGTGACAGAAGTGACTACAGGGTTTTTTATTTTAATACCTTGTACTGCAGAGTAAATTGGTATTAACCCCCTTCTGCAGAGTGAATTATTTACCAGCACCATCAGGTTACCTATAAACCACAGCTCAGTGGAGGAGGGATGGAGCAGATGGGGTGTAGCAAACCCTCCTTGTGCCGGGCACCACCAGGTTGCTCTGCTGGGGTCCCACGTGCTGAGGGCTGCCATGGGATCACAGAGGGGCACTCCTGGCTCTCCTACCTCTTAATCCAGGGCTGAGTGCACCCGTGCTGTCAGCAGGAGCTCAGCCTCCCTCTCCATTAGCAGGAGACGTGGATGTGCAGTGGGGGCTCTGAGGGCCATCAGGAAGGCTCCAGCTGGCTCGAGCTGCTCTGGCTTTATGGCATCCGAAATGGCTGTGAAACATTCCCCTGCTCCTGCTCCCTCCTGGCCATCCCACATCCCTGTCACTCTCCAGTGCTTTGTAATGGCGGTTCAGCACATAAAGCCAATTACAGGTGTAGAAAGCCAGCAATTCAATAAAATGCAGTTGAAATTGAAAATATGAGGGGGAAAATCTCTGGAAGCCTTGGGAAAGCTGTTGTTGAGCACGTGGAGCAAATCTCTGCAGCCAGGGGAAAGTTTTCAGCGTGGTGGTTGTGGACAGGTGTTACCCTCATGTGGGTTATTCCTGGTGGCAGGAAAAGGTCAGAGCCCTGTCTGTGGGGGCTGGCACAGGTCAGGGATGCAGAGGCAAATGTGGGGGGGCCATACCCAGGGTCTGCCCCGAGCTGGGGTTGTTGTGGTGGCAGGGAGCATGCAGGATGCTCCTCATGGTCCCTGCTGGCCTTTAAAGCCTGTGAATAAACCTCTGCTCCAGGTGATTAAGGAAGCTTTTGCTGGTTAATCTGCTTTGGCTCTGCAGTCCCTTTCTGTGCTGGCTTCTCCCTGTGCCCTCATGGCACAGACCCTCATCTCTGGGCAGGGTGCCCTGAAAACCTGGGAAATCAAGATGGAAATACTGTCACCCTCTCGCTGCTGCCTTGTCTGTGTGAGGTGTGGGATGTGATGCCAGCAGGAGCTTCCCACTGAGGGAAAACACCTTCCTTTGGGGGCTGCTGAGGAGTTTTGTTGGGCTGCTTCTGTTCTGACCAGGGAGTGTTGTTAGATGATGAAGTGAACATATATTTCTCGTGATAACAATCGTACCCATGTCTTAAAGGGCACAATTATTGCCCCAGTAGGGAGGCACCTGCCCTCAGCTGCATTTTGTACTTAAACTTCAGGAGTGTATGGTGTGTGCCTGTGTTACTGAGGCTGGTGACATCTTTGTGTCTTGCTGAAGAGGCTGAGGTGGCTCCATGTCACCCAGTGAGTGCTCCTGGAATGCTGTGGCACTGGGGAGTTCCTTCTTGCTGGTCCAGGGAGCAGCGTGGAGCTCTCGAAGGGATGTGCCTCTCCCTGAGGAGTAGGGCACATGGTGGGGACATGTGGCACGGCTTGGAAAATTGTCATCTGCTGCCCTCAATATTCCCCTGGTGGATTTTGGAGGGTGCCAGGCTCTGTGTCTCTCCAGGTGCCTCACAGCCGCATTTTCGGCATCCAGAGGTGAAAGGAATGTTAGAGCTACAAAATGCCCTTGGTCCCCACACTGAATCTGGCAAGTTCAGGTGGTGCTGGGGCCCGTGGCAGGGTCCCAGCAGCAGGACCCAGGCCAGGAGCCCCCCTGCATGCTGAGCACAGCACTGCATTCCCCGACAGAGGGCCGCTCCCTTCCCGGGAAGGTGTTTGGGATGGAAGCAGTGTGTAGCTGGGTGGGTTGGTTTGTTTGGGAAACGTGGGATTAAAGCAAAAGGAAGTGTGTTTTCCTCCAGCACTGTCGTGCTACCAACCATCTGCTTTTCTCCACAGTTTTCAGGGAACCGTACACCGTTCGGGTGGAGGACCAAAGGTCGATGCGTGGAAACGTGGCTGTTTTCAAGTGCCTCATCCCCTCTTCAGTGCAGGAATACGTTAGTGTTATATCCTGGGAGAAAGACACCGTTTCTATCATCCCAGGTAAGAGAGGAGCACCTGTTCTCTTGGAAATCTGACCTGCTTTGCCATGTGTGACAGTCGCTGTTGTGGAGGGTCTGGTTTTGGCTCCTTGTCTGTGCCTGTGCTGCCCGAGCAGAGGCTTCTATTGGTGATCTTGCAGCTCCAGACTGGGCAACACTGCTGGTGTGAGCAGATGTGTCATGTCTGGGGTCTCCCGGGTGCCGTGGTCGGGTGTAAGTGTGGCTCAGTGTCAGTGTGGCAGCACATGTGCCCTGTCCTGGTCTCTGCCTGGCGCTTTGGGTACCTGGCACCAGGGCTTGGATAACAGGAAAAGCACCTGCCTTGCTGTCCGTGTCCTGGCTCCTGCAGCCAGGGCTGGTGTTCATGTTGTCAGGATGATGCACATGTCAGTATTCCAGCTGCTCTTGTGACTTTTCACAACTGATTCAGTCAGAGGGAAAGAAACTTGGTAAAAATGGCGTTTTGTGCCTCTTCCCATGCTGGAAGCTGCTTGGCCTCCCTGTTCCATGTTCCTGCCTTGTAGTCCAGGACGTGTCCTGCTCAGAACCGACCTCCATCCGTGGGAAAGGGGCTGTGGGAGGGACAGCATCGCCCGTCTTACGCAGGGACTTTGCAGTTCCGGGTGTTTGGCCTCTGGGTAATTCCTTTGACTTTTTGGCAGGTGCTCCTGCCTGGCCTGGCACAGGTGTTGAGTGGGCTGTGGGCAGGTGCTGGCACAGCGTGGGGCTGTCCCACATCCCCGTGTACCGGGGTGACCTCTTGGCTCCTCGGCGGAGCCGCTATTGATGGCAGCGCTGGCTGCCCGGCACAGCCTGCGTGAGCCCGTAGTAAAGCAATCAATACTGCTGTCCCCGGGGCATCCAGAGACAATTAAAGGATTTGGCCCAAAGTGAGTGCTCTGTGCTTGATATTTGCTCACAGGTCAGCAAGTCCTGATGCTCCTCCGGGTCTCGGTGCCGCCGGGAGCGGGGCTGGGGCACCACTGACCGAGCAGGGGAGGCCATTGCTCTAATCCCTCTGGCACGGATGCTTCTTCCTTAAGGAGCTTAAGGAGCAAAGTACTTCACCTGGAGGGGGGTGACAGGTTCTCCTGAGGTCTGTGGTGGCTCTTGCTGGTGGGCTGTGCCTCCTGAGTGCAGCCAATGTGCTGACTCAGCACAGCCCATGTGCGCTCAGAGGCAGGCGGAGGGAAGTGGTGCTCCCGACCTTTGGCAGGGGGACAGACTGGCCTTGCCAGCCTTTCTGTGCAGGAAACGGCCGTGGATAAGGGAATATGAAGTGGATTTCGGTGTGGTGGATAGGGCTGAGGAGTTTGTGGTGTCCATCTCTGGGGTGAGAGGCACTCAGGTGATGCTCGTGGTGGACCGTGGGTGATGTGGGTGATGCTCTGCCCACCACGGGCTTGTGCTGTTTGATGAGTGGGAAACGAGGCCTCTCAGCAGGACAACCCAAGGTGTTGTTTCCTCAGTGCAGGCTGGCTCTGGCAGCACCTCCTGGGAAGTTGATGGTTCAGGATTCTGTGGGATGGAGCTGAGCAGTGCCCATGTGGCCAGTGGGCTTGGCAGTGATTTTGCCAACCGAGCACCCGTGCACTTGTGTGATCTTAACCAGACTTGTTCCCAACTTTGCTGTGGCAGTGGATTTTTTAATATGATGATTTAATTAGGGTGGAACGATTTTAACATTCTAAAGCAATAATTACCCTAAAGACAGAACATATAAATTGTGTTACAGTGCAGAGTCAACACAAGCAAACATGTTGTGCCGTTAGATTACAAATATAGTATCTGCCTGAAGCTTATTTTTTTGTTGCTGGTGTGTTAGAGCTAAAACTGGATTTGCTGTTACCAAAAATACACTCTTTTCCTGACCTCTGCTGATCTTCTGCTTCTGTCCTGGTTCTAAGTGGGGAGGAGGAGGGATCCCTGCTGTTTGGAGGGAATGGAGTGGAGGTGAGGAGAGCTGGGATGTGGTGCTGAGGCCCCAGGGCCCCCCCTGGTCGCAGCAGTGCCTTCAGCACAGTGAGACTCTGCTGCAGGAGGAAAGGTGTGTGGAAGGACTGTCAGCAGTGCACTCGAGCTGTGCTCACAGCTGGCTGTGTAACGTGGTGTTCTCTCCTGACTTCGGTGTGCCAAACTCTCTGCTTTCCCTGAAACTTTGCTCTAGTGCTCCCTGTGGAAGGCTGGGCATCTTCCCAGCAAGCTGAGATGCAGCAGGGGAGGAACAGTCCTGATGCACAGAGCAGGGGAAATCTCCATCCAGCCTTCTCTGTGGCACAAAACTTCTTTTAAGTGACTGTTTTCACAGTAAATAACTTTTCCCCAACCAAACTAAAGTATTTGTAGCTCAGAAATAGGGGCAGTGAGCGTTTCCCCTGGGGCTGCTGCTCTCGTGAGCTCAAACCTCTGCCTCTGTACGTGACTGGGGTGACCCTTTTGTGAGCTTTCTCGGGTTCTAGGAAGAAATTCTCCCCTGTGAGGGTGACAAGGCACTGGCACAGGTTGCCCAGAGAAGCTGTGGCTGCCCCATCCCTGGAAGTGTCCAAGGCCAGGCTGGAGCAACCTAGGATAGTGGAAGGTGTCCCTGCCCATGGCAGGGGGGTGGAATGAAATGGGCTTGAAGGTCCCTTCTAACCCAAACCATCCTGTGATTCTGTGATTGATGATTCTTTTTCTGCTTAATTGGGATTACAGGGCTCCCAACCTCTCGTGTCTCTTCACTCAAGCCCTGCTGCTTTCTTGGTGGGGGCTTGGGGTGGGTTTGGTGAGTACAAGGTGGTGCCTTGCTGGTGAGAGCCGCCTGCCTCCCCGAGCTCACGTGGCGAGTTATTTGGTTAACTTGGCACCAGGGTAACATACCCCAGAATCAAAGATAAATTCTTTATGGCAGGTTATCCGGCACATAAATCATCATTAGTGCAGCTCATTTTTGTTTAGTGCCCACCTGACCGTGCTGCCGTCGGAAGCTGTGTGTTTAGTGAAGTCAGGGGTTGCAGGGAAATTACAGGGTTCTCAAAAAGCCATTTGCTTTGCTGGTGCTCACATCAGAATCAATCTTGCCTGGCGTTCCCAGCCTTGCTGCAGACTCTGGGGCTCCGTGTAGGAGGGTGTGCATGGCAGGGCAGCAGCAGTGCTCTCTGGAGAGGGCTGGGGGGAGAATCACACCTCACACCCGGGCTGGGATTTCAAACTCGGCTGCTACTGATGAATCTTGATGTGTGTTTGAGGGGAAGGATGGGAGCACGGCAGTGTTTTACACACCCCTCACCCTTTTGCATGAGAAAGTCCTGCTACAAACCAGTTTAAGAACTCAACATTGCAAACAGCTTTTATTTTATTATTTTGTTATTATTGTGTGTGGGTCCCACGTGCGTGGGCACTCCTGGGGTGTGTGTCCAGCTGCAGCTCACAAAAACAATATGGGCAGCTACCTGAGACACTAGAAAGTGGATTTTTGGGCAATTTCAGGCCCTGCTGGGTTGTTGCAAGGCTTTTATTTGAGCACTGCTTGGCTTTTGCAACCCTGTGAGCACACACGTGCCTGTGCACTTCCAATGTTGTTGAGTGGCTCTCTGTGGTGTCCCTGGAGAGCAAATTGTGGTGCTCTCAGGTGTGACAGCGTCGTGTCAGCTCGAGGGAAAGCTGACAGCGCTTGGCACCCGTCCTGCCCAGCCTGCTGGCACCAGGACTGGCAAGGGCAGCAGGATTTGGAGGCAGTGAGCATTACTGGCCTGGCAAACCCAGAGCTGAGCTGCTATTTGCTGCTTTGGTGTCGTGTAACTTGACAGGTTGTGTTGGAAAAATCTAAATACAGCACTTCTCAAGGTACCGCCGTTTCTGAGGGGGCTGCCTTTGTCACCAGCCTAATACAAATCCTCCAAGGGCTGCTGAGATGAGGATGTACTTAGTCATTGGTTATCCACAAAGCCTTTTCTCTGGAAAGCAAAACGTAAAGCTTGCCAGAAGGATGGAGCTGGGGAAAAAAAAAAAAGGAGTTCTGTGAAGTTTTAGACGTGTTTTTGTGCATGTTATGGGTTGAGCCTTTCAGGAGTTTCCAAAATACCTGAGCTGATCTGTTGTGGTGCTTCAGATATGAGCTCCATTTGACCTGCACAACCCTTTCTACCCCATCCTCTGGTGTCCCCAAGGCTGGTTATGGGGTTCTTTAACTCGTCTCAGCGGCTGTTTAGTGATGTGGGCAATGAAAGTGCAGCAGCTGCCTTGTGGTTCCGTGTGACCAATACCCCCCAAAATGTTCTCTCTCCTCTGCTGCACCTTGCCACTGGCACAGTTTTTTTTTTCTGAAATGGCAGAAATGGAAACTCACACAAATCCCACTGCAGTCCATCCCAGGACGTGGTGAGTCCCGGGGTGAGGCGTGAGGATGGATTTGTGGGCACAGCATTCCCTCCCAGCCGGGCATTGTGTGCCATAGGGCACGGAGGGATGATCCAAGGGGCAGAAGAGCCAGGACCTGGATAATTCAGCATTGTCCCCCAGTCAATAGGCTTATTCTGCAGGACACAAGTCTCCTGTTCCTGGAGAAAAGCTGGAAGCTAGGACAGAATAAACACGGTGAGGCGAAAGGCTGCCCTTGTTTCTGTGTTTGTCCTCATGGAGAGGTTTGGAGACACAGAGAAGTTACTGGGGGTCACGTCCAGCTGCTGGTGTTTTGGTTTGGTTTGACCTGAATAATAACAATAACCCAGCTGGTTTAAAGCAGGAGGCTGTGGGTCTGAGCGTGCTGGGCACGAGGCCACTCTACTGCCCTGTCCCTGCTGTCCCCTGTGGCTGAGCACGGGCTGGTGGCTCTGACCTGCTGCTTTCCATGGAGAGGAGGGAGCCTGGGCTGCTGCTGCCTGCCCTGCTCCCTCCCGGCGTGTGCAGGGAGCAATCCACACAGGCAGCTCCGAGGAGGGTGCTGTGACCATTGGGCAGCAGGCTGGCCAGGAGTTGGCCTTTTCAACTGGATTTTGTCACTCTGCCTGGACCGGGCTGACT